CCCCCCCCCCCCCCCCCCCCCAACCCTTTCTTCCTAAACCCTCTGGAATTTAGGGCATAGCGTCGAAATTTCAATGACCTTTCTTAGGATGGCTATGGGTATTTTCTCGAACTGCACATTGTAATACAATTTCTTATATTTCTTGTTTTGCTACTGTGTTGCAGTTTGCGACAGTGCATAGAATCAGATTCATGGAAGTTAGTGCTGAGAAAAACATTAATATAGACGAGGTAGGTTTGAACCTACAGCCACTATTTGAGCGATTTTATTTCGAAATGTATTCCAAAGTTTGTCCTTTTCTTCTCACGATTGTTTACACGGCCCCTATCTTCCGGCTGGAAACGGAACCCAAATGTTGAACCTGGGTGAATTTTAGTTGTAATAAGGGAGGTTAAAGGAATTCTACTCACATTTTAAGAAGATAGAAGCAGTTGTTGGAACATTTCTCTAGTTTGTTTGATCACTGTAAAATATAGACCCAGACTAACCTCAGATACTGCGACCAAAAACTAACCTTTGCCTACGTTGTAACCCTGTCCATAAGACTGCTAACCATTTTTATGTTACCCCTATCCCCGAAAAACAGTCTGTAGTCTTCATTGTGAAACAGCTTTTCAGTAGCTCTCTCTCACACTCACAAAGTCAAGTTAAAATTGAACCTAGATAAACCTGCAATTAAAAAAAATTATCTATTAAATCTATTAGCCCATCTTTAAATCTTTAATGTGAAATGTCAGGTTTTTTGTCGGCAGGCGTTTTACACTCTTACAAGGGACCTCCTTGCAGAATTGCTACAGAGGCAACAGTTGGTAATATATTTTTAATTTTTAACTTTCAAACAGAGAACCTTCCTTTATAAGTTACCAAACGAAAATAAGGATTGTTGTTGTAATATTCAGGATGTCCTTCCTCCAATCTTAATGTATAATTTGTTACGTAAGACTTTCACTTCTTTCATTTATAGTAGCCCAAAGGGACGAGCCACAACGGTTGTGGTTCCTTTAAGACAGCCCTTACTTTCTGATACGTAAATATTGAACGCCCCCCAGTTGAGGTTAATATTTTACCCCTGAGAAGGATTACTTTCTCTTTTAGTCGAGGCAGCATTTTGTGTTATCTCTCATGAAGAAGTCTTATTAATAATAGCAATTTGATATCACAATGCTAAGCTAGCGTGTGAAACATTCGCATTTTTTGCGAAGGAGGGCAAAGAAAGGTCTGAAGCAGGTATCAAAACGGGCGTGGGCGGCTTGCGCGCGAGGATCCACGCTTTCGGCACTCCGCATCTCACGAAAAGCGAAAGCTGAAAACCGACCTACGCTGTTCTGGTGTTCAAGGGACTCAGTGCTTTCAGGAATAATCAGAAAAATATAAAAGTTACTTTTGCTTTCGGTGTTTTCGTTACCCCCCGTTACTTTTTAATTCTGTAGTATTCAGAGAATTGCTATCTTTTAGGAACAGCCACAACTGTCAGCGGGGCCAAAAATCCAAGACACGCAGCAACCTAAACAGTCCAAAGGTTTCTTCTCTTCCGTAAGAAAGTTTCTAGGAAGACTGGGCATGAAAAGTGTATGTCTTACTTTGATTTGGACATAAGTGGTTATTTTTTGGAAATTAATGGTAGTAATTGGTAGCAGCTATGCTATTCTGGTTATATCAAAGATTGTTTTTGTCTTTTTTTTCAATTAGGAGCAGACGAATTCTCAGCCATTACCACCATTACCACTATTACCACCACCATCACCACCACCAACACCACCATTACTATGGGGGTCAGATGAATTCAACCTTGTGACACAGGACGCCACTGACAAAGGTACTTCCTGACATACTGCCTTACCTTATCGATCCTGCTAAGGCATACTTTTCCTTCATGAGTTATTGCTAGGTACATTCTAGTTTGTTTTGCGGGGCAGTTTGTTTCTTAGCGACAGTACGTATTGAGATTTCACTTAGTGAAAATGTTACTCTGCGTAATGGTATCGATAAACATAAGTCTTACATTGGCCTCCTAGTCCATTAAGTTGGTCTGGTAGGTCAAACGTTTCACGGAAAATCAAACATACTTTAATTAGGAGAAATTCCGGTTACCACTAGATATTTGAAGAGTCTTTCATTATCACAACTCTTCGTACGGAAAATAAGTGGACATATGATTGCATACGACCAACAAACAGCCATACATTATTCACTTACATTTGTTCGAACATTTGACTCTATATGTACGGTTGCACATGTCAATCACACAGTCACACGGAACCACAATAGCCCATCCTCTTGCCCTCTATTTCTAGACACCCTAGTTGGACTTTTTCTCTTCTTGTTTTTTTTTTTTTTTTTTTTTTTTTTTTTTTCATAAAGCACCTCCAGAGATTCTTGCAAGAGGATCCTTGGCCTTGAGATTGTACAACAATGCTCTTAGTGAAGGAAAAACTTGTGTCAAGAGGGTGCCAGTAATGTTGATTGGACAGGATCGATCAGGAAAGACCAGTTTAAAGAAGTCATTGAGGGGGCTGGTTTTCAACCCGGATGAAGACAGCACTGTTGGAATAGATGTTGATCCTTCACATTTCAAAGTGTCAACTGAGGTGTGGAAAGCGGGGAAGAAGGATCAACAATCTTCTGCTGCTGCCATTTCCTATGAGCACCATGCGGCCCAGTTGATTTTTGGTAGGTTGATGGGGGAGGAACAAGCACTTGAGGAAAGAGCTACGGATCCCATCCTGTTTGAAAGTGTTTCTTCAACCATGGGTCATAGTTTTGCTTCCGGCGAAAATCAAGAGCCTGACGAAAGACGTTTGGAGCCCGTCCAGACTGGAAGTAATCTTCTGGCTAGGGGAAACTCATTAGAATCAAGTCCTGGATTACCTTCCCAATTTCCAAAAACTTCAAATGTCAGTTACCCTGATTTCGAGCCACCAGACGCAGGCGGAGATGACGTGCCTAATCCAAGTGAATTGTACAAAGAGGACGCGTCAATCGTACCAGAAGAGATAGCGACCTTGGTTGAAAGATTGCTTCACGAGGCAAAGACGGTAGATGACGACAAAGACGTTTATTCTGTTTTGTGGGATTTTGGTGGACAATCAGTTTACTATGTCACCCACCCACTCTTTCTTACATCAAGGGCGATTTACCTTCTAGTATATGATCTCAGTAGAAACCCACATGACAAAGCCAATCCCCTTGTAAGGCAAGGAATGTTCAAAAAAATTGAAGACAACTTTAGTCTGAAAACCAATTTGGACTATCTCGATTTTTGGATGACTTCTGTTGCTTCCCTAGCGTGTCAGAGTGGACAACAACCAGTAAGTTCTAATTCGGTGGTAATACCAGCCGCACTTCCTCCTGTGTTCTTGGTGTGTACTCATTCTGATGAACCATATGGTGGTGAGGATCCTTGTACAGTAGCCAATGAGATCTTTCATTTTCTACAAAACAAGCCGTACAGTGCCCATCTATTCGAGCATGTCTTTATTGTGGATAACACAAAGTCTGGTGGGAAATCTGAGTGTCCTGAAGTATCACGTTTGCGGCAGAATGTGCTTGCCGTTGGAAAGGATCTACCACAGATGAATGAAGCCATTCCGATCAAGTGGCTGCAATTCGAGAAAGCCCTTCAAGTAACGAGGGAACGACACGAATGGATTACTCTTGAAAGAGCAAAGGAAATTGCATCTAAAGTGTGCAGAATTGATGATGATCAAGAGATTGTGACATTGCTGAACTTTTTGCATGATCAGAGGATTTTGATTCATTTTGATGATACTCCTGAATTGAACAAATTAGTTGTTTTGGATCCTCAGTGGTTGATTGATGTGTTCAAGAAGGTGATAACTGTCAAGCCATACGATCATGAAGAAAGAGAATTTAAAGACCTTTGGCAGAAACTTGAGCAAACAGGAATCCTGGAGGAAAAACTCTTGGAACATGTTTGGGGTGCTTTGTTGAACCAGGAAGAAACATCTGATAGCCTGATCGCAATCATGGAGAAATTCAGCTTGATGTGTCTGTGGCCTTCATCAGACGCTTCATGTGGCAAGCAGTATCTAGTGCCATCCATGCTAATGTCGCATCCACCTCAGGGTATCATGAAACTTTTAGAATCTGCACAAATCCCCTCTCTTTTTCTGAAATTTGCATCTTGTCAAATTCCCCCCAGCTTTTTTCCACGCCTGGTGCTGCAATTTTTTCAGTGGTGCATTGACGAATTTCCAGGCGCAGTTGACCCCCAATTGCACCACAACTTTGCCCGGTTTTACATCTCTCAAGATGTATGTTGCTCTGTAGTCCTTCTGTGTCACCCATCCTCAATTGAGGTGGTCTTTCTCAGTGAAAATCACGCTCTTGGTGAAGGTTCACAATCGAATTTGAGCCTTGTCGATGAAAGCCAGCGCACCTTTGAAGTGACTGCGGCCCGTGCTGTGCGTAGGCAATTAGTATTGTTGCTTGACTGCATGAAGAAAGAATCCTGTTGGTCAAGCAACATCAGATATGAAGTGTGTTTTCTCTGCCCAGCCTGCTCCCGCGGAGGTTCGGTTACTTACTGTCAAACTCATCGTGCGCAGGGTTGTAGCCAGCAGGAATGTCTTCACTTCTGGCCCGAGTCAGACTTGTGCAACGTTCCACAAACCGTGACTTGCCGCAAGTCGGCTGATGCCATGGAAACCAGGGTTCAAGTGAAACAGTTTGCGCCTTGGTTTATAATTCCAAATAAAAAGGTAAATACGTTTTACAGTTTCTAGAGGTAGGGCGATTAACAAATTTTATCTAATTTTATTTATTTTATCAATTGTAAAGCGCATTTGATCATGTACGTCAGGGAAAATTGCGCTATATAATTATTATTAAATTAAAAGTTCCCTTTTCGAAGATTATGTACAATCTTTTGTGCCGCTGAAGTATGTCAGCATAACCATACCGTCATTGTGATACCAAAAAAAGACACTGTCGTTATTAACCTTGAGCTCGCAGTTTTGTCTCTTTAGTTACAAGGGAAGAGTAGAATAATTATTCCAAATAAATCGTGTTGAGTATAATATGTTAACATCTGGTTTGTATATATAACAGATAAAGGTTGTATAGACCTTTCGTTATTTAAGCGACGAAACTGCAAGCTATATTCATTCCTTTTTGCTATTTTTGCACAACAGCAAAGTACACTTGCGGAGGGGAGACCTGTCTCGATGGTGAAAGGTAATCTTTGATTTTGGCTCAGTGTTTCTTTTATGTATACCTTAACGTTAAACTGTTCCTTTTCATTTTTTTCACTCGGTTATCATTATAACCATTCCTTCTTCCTCTTAGTTTTTGAGATTTATTTTTATTTGCAATCCACGAAGAGGAGATAAATAAAGGGCAGGCTCTCTCCGTACCTTTTACAGCTCAAGGTTCAACATCACAACTATGCGATTCACAAGACGTCGTAGTTCGACTACAAGAAGATCTGCAGTTGAAACAGACCTCTTTAGAAAATCCAGAGCCAGATTCACAGGGTATAGAAACAAGTGAGGGACAGGCCCTTGCCGTATCTTCTTCCGTTGAAGTTGCTCTTTTGTCACAATCGTGTGATGCGCAACAGGTCGTGAATCGACTTCAAGAGGACCTGCAGTTGGACCAATCCTGTCTGGAACATCCAGAGCCAGAAACTAAAAGGATGATCCGTTGTCTGGCACGAAAAGCTAAATGTTCAAGTAGGCTTGATGTAGTTAAACGTTTGAGGGAAGTGACACCAGCTGGGACTACAGGTACTTTTTGAACTGATGCATAATGGTCAAGGTTAAACGGAGATAGGTTCCCAACTCATACATCATGTTTTTAAAAGTATGGCATGCAAGGTGCTATAAACTTGCTTTATCTTGCAAGAGAAAGAAGAGGAAAAAAAAAAGTGGTGAAGGCAAATTTAAAAAATATCAACTACAATGAAAAACGTGTGACTGAAGATCCAAAATTGCAGGAGAATGGTAATTTTGATTTCCCGACATCCAGTCACAAGATCAGATTCAATGAATTTTAATCTTCTTCCGTCTGTGTAATCCTGTGCTTCTTCCCCAAAAGATTAGCGTCTGGTACATTACCTTTCTTTTCATTAACATCGCATCCTTCCATGAATTGTAAGCAAGGGAGTGTGTATAAATCGTTATGACGACGACGGGACGTTGCTAAAGAAAATGTTGAATTATACATAACATAAATAACACATTTAATACATACCTGCTCAGTCGAGCCTATGACCTTAACGCACAGGTTGGACGCGTATCCACTGAGCTACAAGAGACTCGTGGGAGGACCTAGGGAACTAGACCTCGTATTGCTCATAATGAGGCGATATATTACTTTAAAAGATGCGAAAGTGACAGGATTAGTTTTGTGAATATGTGACTACTGACATGAGTGCAGATAGAAATGGTGATATACGTTAAGCTTTGTGGGAACGAAAAAGACAGTATCGAGTCATTGATGTAATCCGCTTCCTATTTGTATCTGGACGTGAAAGTTCTCTTTCCATTTTTATTTATAGTATACAACATATTCCTTACACATAGTGCAATGTCTTTGTTCCACTGTCATTATATATATATATTTTTTCATTTGAATGTGTTCCCGACAGGGCCCCTACTTCATGAAAATCTGGATGTTAAGGATATTCCTCTTGGGCAGATTAGAGACCTGTCAGTGCAGTTGTGTGGTAAGAACGTGTCATGTGTATCAAACATTGGAAATATTGCGTGAAAAATATACGGAAGTGCATGCAATTTCCACGCAGCCAAAGAGCTCGACTTTCCGCCGTCTTTTTTGATGTGTAGTTTTATAGAAGGATATTTTGATCTTTTTGTAAATGTACTTGCACTTTTCTTCCTAAAATCATAAAACTTGATTTATTAATGTGTTAATACATTATGTACTTGATGTATGAATGTGTTAAAACGTTTAAAAAGATGGCCTCAGTAAAGAGGTAAAGGTAAGGTTAAGTCTACACGAGCCAAGTGGCCCATCAGGCAAGTGCTTATCCCGGTTTCAATAGCCTGAAGCGACTAGGAGTATTTCTACTCTCCCCTGGATGGGACTCGAGCATAATTTGATGTGAGAATGGAGATGAACAGCTTGTAAAGTAATGTTCATTTTATAGGCGGAGATGAGTGGATGATGGTTGCGGAGAGATTGGGTTTGAAGCCATCAGAGATCCGTTTTCTGGACAAGCGATCTCGCAACCCGTTCGAGTCTGCACTAATTCACAGTCGGAATCAGCAATATTGGAACGTTGGACAGCTGTATGATGTGTTGGTCGACTGTAGATTC